CGCATTGAAGTCAGAGGGGGAGATTTGTTGGGCTTCCTCCTTCAATGCTAAGCCCAAGCCCATTGAGGGGTTTCCTAAAAACCCTAACCCTAGATCTCACCTCCTCTATATATTCATTAGTTGTGTGTGGAGGTTAGGTTAAGAGATTAGAGAGAAAATATGAGAGAATTTTATTTGACAGATATTTGAGAGAAAATTGTTTGAGCAAAGCTTTATGCTTTGCATTTGAGACATCTCTAAAGAGAGTTTGAGTGAAACATCTCTAGGGTAGTTTGATTATCACCATTGTTGGAGAGGTTGAGTTAACCACCACATTGGTGTATTTGATTCTTTGTAACCATTATTTTCATAGTGGATTTTTGATCTGGACTAGGTCCCGTGGGTTTTTACTTCTTCATTGGAGAAGGTTTTCCCACGTTAAATCTGGTTGTGTTCTTCTTCTCTCTCTCCTTTTTTGTGATTTTTCGTTTTGTTTTTTCCGCTGCGCTGCCCGACCTAGTGAAATTCAGGCAAGGTATTGCTGAGATCTAAGATCGAGGATCTCATTGATTGACTTCCGCACAAAGGCCCCTGAGCCGATATGAGGGAACCGAGTTTTTCCCGACATATATTTATATATAACAAATAATTTTTTTTAAAACCAAGCAGGTGCCAAGGCACCTGCTGGCTATGAAGCACTGACACTTCAAAATTCAGATGTGTCGTGTCCGACACTTCTCGACACTCTCGGACACTCCGACACTCCCCGACACTCCAACACGTGTTATAAAAATTAAAAAAAAGGTTCAAAGGTTAAGTTGTGTTGAGTTTTTAGTTCTAATTATTAGATTCGTAGGATTCCGATTACTATTTTATTGAGTTTAATATAAATATTTGAGATATCTTATGTTTCTTTGCAAAATTTATGAATATTATAAGTTTAGATATATTTTTTTGTTAAATTATTGAATATTAAATATAATATATACTAAATAAATTAAAAATATTTAATATCAAAACGTGTTCTAACGTGTCAAAATCTAACATTTTTTAAAATTAACGTGTCGGAGTGTCATGTCGTATTGTGTCACGTGTTCCGTGTCAGTATCGGTGCTACATAGCCTGCTAGCATAGGAGTGGCTACGCCACTGAGTTCAGGAGATGAGATTTATAATTCCATATGCTTCTGATATCCATTGTAGATCAATTAGGAATATATATCTCAGAGAATAATATAAATCATTAAAAAAATCCTCACTCAATATTTTAAGATTTTGGATTGAGATGATTTTTTAAAATATAAATATTCTGAACATCGAAATGTTCAAAGTTACAAACTCTATATTTCCCATCTAGAAGAAAGTACAAAATTCAGCTGTACCTTGGACCTTATGTTCCGGTGAAAAACCCAACTGCCATCAATTTTAAATATAATTAACCGATTTTACCCCACAAAAAATAATTACAAAAATAGCTGAGTGATATCTAAAGTGTCTTTAGCAAAAAAATGATGTATTCTCTGCATTTTTTGTCCTATTACTCATCTATCCTATACATAAAAATGAATCTCAAAAAATAACTTTTATTATATGAAGTAATAATTTCCTAGCCAGCAGCAGAAAATTGAACCACAAAACAGCTATTTTGCAACCAATACCATCATTGATTCAAACCATATTGTCTAAATATTTATCATCATTGACATAACCATTTTCTATATAAATGACTATCTATGGTCCAAAATAACTAAAATTTTCAAACGGTACTTCACAGCTTTTTATATATATATATATATATATATATATATATGGGTTTTATAAGAGTTATGTTGTAGGAAAAATGATTATGTAATGTTATAGAGATTCGTTTTGCGTGCCGTAATTTTCTTTTTCTCTTTTTTCTTCAAAAAGTGTGGGCTCCACAAAATGTTGTGTGTGTAGGAAAGTTTGTTGTGTCATGTTAAATGACAAATGCAAACCTATATATATATATATATATATATATATATATATATATATATATATATTAAAAAAAATACTTGTCCTAAGAGAACCTATGACTTAAAATATCCAAAATTTAAGCAACAATCAACTAAAAATTAAGAGGCTTTCAAACCGGCATAGCAAAGACAACTTATCTGTATGTATTGACTATTAAGTAGGTCTTCTTTATTCAAAAATTTGCATATTATAGTTGAACTGGATGTCTCCATTCTCACTCTATAACATAAAAATCCCTACAGAAATCATCCATAGACAATTAAATTATTTAATTCAATTTTCTAAGATTTCCAAATTGAACCCTAACTTTTGCTCCAAAATCCCAAATAACAAGTGAAGTCATAATCGCTCATAAATACCAAATAAATTCGAAGCTATAAACCAAAAATACACCTAATTAGAGTGGAAAGGGAAAGAAACAATAAACTAGAGCACACGCATATGGCATTATAGTTGCACATTAAAATGCCTCGCCTACCAAGGTGAGTTGCAGGGAAAACGATAACACAAGGCTTCAATTTCTGTAGTAGGGTTTTGGTTTTAAATATTTAGGATATGAAAAACAAATATTTTTTTATTGTTTGTCGCTCTCTTTTTTTAATAAAAATAATTTTATCATTAAATATTTGGACTTATATATTTTCATGTTTCAAACTCTAAGAAAAAGTTAAGTTATAGACCGAACAAGGTCCGATTCAAGTAATAGATCGGTTATACAATTGATCCAGTATTAAATCAATGAATCGGTGATGAACTGCGATTCAATTGGTATTAACCGCTGGGAATTGAACCCAGTTCATCTGAATGGATAGTGTAGCATTTTTACCATTAGGCTATACTCAACTTTTGGTTAAAATGCATCTTTTAATATAACTATTATATAATTTAATTTAACTGATTGAGTCACTAACCCACCGATTAAACTAATGACTCATTAACTCAGTACATCAATCCGACCATACTTTTTTTTTTGGGTACAAATCGGACCATACTTTGAATAGAGAGGTGTGTGAAATATTAGAATGTAGTGTGTACTGTTGGAGGTTGGTTGAAAGGCCTATCACCACCATATTGGTTTTTGTAATTCCTTTCGGGCTAAGCTTTGGGCTTTCCTTTTGGGCCTTAAGACGGCCTGGGAATCTGGCTATAGTTATGTGATCAAGGTGAGTGATTTCCCCAGCTCATGCTATTGATCAACTAGTTCAAATGAAAATCTTTAAACATCTCAATCCACTATATTAATAAAGAATATGGAGACTAATTAACAAGGATTGAATGGTTCGAGTCAAGCATATCCACAAAGAAGGGAATTTATACGCCAGTGGGCTTATGAATTGGAGCCTTAGGCTAAATTTGGGTTTTCATTGTACCAAAAAAAAAAGATGTCAATAATAGATTTTTTTAGAGATATTATGTAAAACTGTTAATGTATTTTTACTTAGGCTTTAATATTTTTAAGGTGAATGTAGATAAGTTATTTACATTCGCTACCAAAACAACGTCATTTTGGGTAGAAAAATTAAAAAATTATAATAAAAAAGACTATTATAACCCTGAAATAAATTATAATTTCAAAAATACATTAATTTCTGCCTCAAAATGACGTCGTTTTGGGCTCAACGTAGATAAGTTATCTACATTGACCGTAGAAAAATCGAACCTTTTACTTAATAGATTAATTTTTTGAACAGTCCCCATAAGGATAAGGCTTGAAGAATGCTCTCATGAGTATTCATGTGAAATCTTCGTATATAAGAAGTATTTTCTACATATGGGGTGTTTTAATTCAATCCAAACCAAAATTCAATCCAAAACGGAAATCTAATTAGAAATCAAATAAGTTTGGTTACTTTTATTTGATTTACTTGAAAACTAATTGAACTAGACTGATTTTAGAATTTAATTTTTAAAATTGATACATTCTAATTCAAAGAGATTATATTTAGAATGTCTTTTTCTTTATAATCGTTGTTATTATCGTTATATCATTAAATTAACGATTATAAAATGACATCAAATGAAAATTATTCATTTAATTTTGATTCAATGATAACAAAAGTAATTGGAAGGAGAGAAAAAATGTAAATATAACTTACCTCCCTAATATATTATTATTACTATATAATATGATTTTTATTAATCAATTTATACTTTTATCTACAATAACTAATTTTTCATGCATTTCTTTCATTATATGTTGTCCTCAATTCAATATTATTTCACGTGTGTTAAATGGATTATTCAGATTTTTTATTTTCTTTTATTTATTGCTTTTCCTTTTTAATGGTTAGTTGTTTTAACTCCCAAAATTTTTGGCTTAAAACTTTTTTATTTTTTTACCAAAAACTAATTAAACTAATCAATTTTTTAAAAAAACATCTATATATCAAAATTTAGCATCCTTGAAGTGGGATAGAAGCAACCTAAAGTGGCAGGTGTGGCACATCTAAGTAACGAAAATTTGTTAATTCCAGTTTTTAATTTATATTTTTATTTAAGTCCCAATTTTTTTTCTTTTTTTGACAGGATATACTTACATCCGCCGCACTCAAAATTTGTCCCCAAGTAATACATAGTGTAAAAATGTTTTTTTTTTGGATGATGTACCATGAAAACCAAGGTCATTATTTGTCATGTTTTAGGAGGGCAATTTTTGTGACTTGTTTGATACATATTGTATTTGCCATAGACTTCAATTTCTTATGCTCTGCTTCTAGAGTTACATACAGCAGACGTTTGATACGCAAAATTTTGCAATATTTTTGAGAAACTAATTTTTTTTAAATTTTGTATTTTCAAATACTATTGTAAATTGAATATAAAAATTATATTTTTAAAAAATTAAATTTTTGAATAAATTTTTTTTATCATCTGCCAAAAGCCAAGAGAAACTTTCGTTGGTAGATAGCAATCATATTATATTTATCCTTATATTTATTTTTATTTATTTTTTTGTTTTGCCCTTGTATTAAAAACGAAAAAAAGAAGAAGGTTCCCTTCATGTTTGTCCTTCCAGTTTATGTGATTGATGAATAAGTCTTACCCCCATCTTTGCAAAGCCGCAGCATCTGATTCGATTCTGACATAATCGAAACCTGTTTTTTTATTTGTTATCCATGTATAAAACCCCCTCTATATTAGAACCTTGCTCCTTTTTTTTTATTATATAATTTTGTGCTGTAAAAGAGAAAAGAAAGAACAACTAAACAAAAGCAAAGATGGAATTGGCAAACTCAGAGTCAAAGAGAGAGTGCGTGTATCCAGGCTCCGGAGATTTTCAGATCCCAATTGATCTATTCGGTTCCAAAAAGCACGCCGGAGTCCCACGTGGCGTTCTGGCTTTCGCTGATTCGTCGGGTAACATACTCTTCAAGGTGAACCCTCACCCACCCAATCCTGACTCTTCCGACAAGAAACTCTTGCTCGATGCTTCCGGCAATCCTGTCTTCTCCATCTACGGCCATCACGTTTGTCTCTCTCTTTTCTTTTGCAACTTCCTCAAAAAATTTAAAGAAAAAAATAAATATTACAATATGAACATTTTCATGATATGATTTTACAATTTTTTTTTTTTTTTTATTTATAATTTTGATAGAATGGGTCTTGGAAATGCTATAAAGGGGACAATGAGTTAGTGTTTAGAGTGCAGAGGACCCTCAAAACACTTACTAGAGTTGAGTTAGAGGTGTTTTTCTATGGTGAGAGGTCCAACGATGAAGGTTGTGATTTGAAAGTCAGAGGTTCCCCTTTCAATAAATCATGCAGCATCTATAAAGACGCTGACTTGGTAGCACAGGTACTCAAATCATTTCATCCTTTTTTATTTATTTATTTGTGTGTATATTCAGATCCCAAATAATATTACATTAGGTACATTATACAAATTAAACCATGGCTAGGCTTGACTTGATTAGAAATTAGAATTTTGCTCATGATATTATATTTCTCTTTGGTGACATGAAGAAGAGAGGACACAACTTCGGAAATTTCAAAGATGTGTTTTCATGAGTAATGACTGACTCCTTAAATAGAGAGAAAATGTCTACATTATAGAAGATTATAATCTAGGAAGTGCTGCATTACATTCTGGTGGATGGAAAATATTGATTCTGATTTATACTTTTGTGCAGACTAGCCTGATGTACAAACTTCACCAACTATATGTCAGTAGGGGTAAATTTCGCCTAACAATCTTTCCCGGGACTATTGACCATGCTATTGTTGTGGCTTTGTGTGTAATATTTTTGAATGGGAGAAAATAATATCATTAACAGACGGCATGCAATTGCAATTTATTTTAAACAGTTACATGTATCTCTGTAAGAGCTGGAAGCATTTTTTTTTTTTTTTTTTATGTATGATCTTTCTCTGTCTCACACACTCACACAGATTGAGGCTGGTAACACTAGTTCATGATCGATGACAAAATATGGAGGAAATGAAGAATTGTTCCTTATGCAAAGCATTAAGGCTGTAATCTAATCTGATTTAATTTCAACTGGTGTGAGATCGCAGTCTCAGAAACATTTTCATTGTTGGAGCATGTTTTATTGTATGAGTGGTGTGTTAAAATATAAAATCATTAATATGACTTCTTCTAACACTTTGGGAGAATTGGTTCATAACAGTGCACTAAGAAGCTTAAGAGACATTTGTCAGTATCCTCAATAGATAAGTCTCTTATTTCGTCTGTTTTCATCTCACTATTCATATGGCATATAACCAATATGTATTCAACTGAGTCAAGAAGGGTGCATCGATGCACTCAAATATAGATTTGGAGGTAACAATTGAGATTAGAATGAAGATCGAACCACAGACAGCTAAAGGCTCGTGTGTACTGAAATTAGCTTCTGCGATCAATTTATTTATTTATTTCCAGAATCACGCAAACATATGAGTGGGAAGTTAAGATTCAACACTCGTGTTGCGAAGCAAACATATGTGAAGATTTGTTTAGCAAACCTGGCTTCTAATAATTTGCATGGCCTAGTCTTGGACAATGAACCTCTTGAAAGTTTTCCTGTTGATTATGTCTGATTTTTCCCATGTTTCTACTCTCGAGAATTATATATTGTTGTCCGGTTTTTTCCTACTTTGGGCTTAGGCCCCCGTCAATAAAAAAGAAGAAGAGAGGATGCATCACGCATGGTTGAGCGACAATTCGTATGTTATTGATGGTAAAGATGTGTACCATTACACAGGAATTTGTGGTCGATAGGGCAATTGTAGAACAATTTCCTCATCGTCCTGGTTCAAATGCCAGTAGAAGTTGATGGGAGACCAAGATGTATACCATCGAGCTTAAGCAAATTGCTATTACACCCTTTAACTAGCATGGTTGTAGCAAGTAGCGCACCTAGTTGGCTAGTTAGACGAATGTTGTTAGTATGCAATTAAAATTTGAGCGGAATGTTATATTTACAAAGTTTTTATTTACAAACTCTTACAAATTATATTATGTCTAATAGGCACTGTTTTAAAACTCGGGTCGACTCGGAACCCGGTCATCAGACCGGTTTGGATCAAGCATTAGACCGGTCATGCATCGATCCGGTCAAATCCGAACAAAATCGACTAAATCCGATGACCCGGTGGGGTCATGCATTTTAAAAAAAAAAAAAATCAAAAAATCAAAACTGTTTCATCTTATCAGGAAAAAAAATGTAAAACTCATTTTAATTTTTTTTTTGTAATTTTATTTCTTAGTATACTATTCTACAATGATATCAAATTTTAGTTTCCAATACTGAAGGAATTTGCGGAATAATAAATTGAAGAATGTGACATATATCATTTTAATATAGTTGTTTGAAAGATATGAGTTCAATGTCATTGGGGAGGGGGCTGAACCTTTAGCCATCACTGTTCCCCCGCACTCCGGATTAGTTCCATAGCCGGCTCAAAGAGTCGAAGCTCGTGGGGATACCGGAGGGAGCCAACTCGTCTCAAAGAGATAATTAGGGTTGGGTAACTTCAAAAAAAAAAAAAAAAAAATGTCATTGAGAGGTATGTTCATGGAGATTTTGAGTTGCAATTTAAATTGACACAGTAATAGTGTGCTTTTTTATTTATTTATGCTTCATGTTTTTTAGCTTATTTAGTTAATCTTGTTTAATTTATTTTAGATATGGAGAATATAATTGAATTTATATGTTCATATTTTTATATATTTATATATATACGGGTCAACCGGTCCGACCAGTGACCCAGTACCCCGACCAGGTCGATGCCTGGGTCGAGTTTAACAACACTGACCGGTAATACACTCTTGAGTAGAGTGTTTCAGTAAAATGCATATGATAAAAAAATAAACAAAATTATGAAAACAACCTTCATTAATTTACCTAAAATTACATAAACACCCTTCATTAATCAAAACGACGTAATATTTTGGGTAGTTATAGATAAACTTATCTAAAGTGGCTGTAGAAATATTTACCCCAATATATATATATATATATATATATATATATATATATATATATATATATATATATATATATATATATATATAGGGGGTTTACATTTCTGCAGCTGCTGTACGTGCAGCTATCAAATACTTGCCATATATATACGTGAAAGCATTAAATGCAGTAAATCATAATCATACAAAAGATGAAAACATTAAATGTGGGAAATCATAACCATACATCTGTCATTGTTGTATGTAAAGCGGCTGCAGAAATGATTTTTTTTTTTTTTTTTTTTTGGTAACACTGCAGAAATGATTTTAACTGTATATATAGAAGTTAAAGAAAAAATCATAAATTTGTTAAAAAGTAAATAAATAAGTGTTGACTATACACTAAAGGGGAATTAATAACGGTTAGTATAATAAATGAGATTATGTAAAAGAAATATTTCTATTTATATTAAATAAGGAAATGATTAATACAAAATAAATTCATTAACCTCTCACGTAATCAATACTGTTAGTACATTTTAAATTAATTTGTTCTTAATGTTTATTAGGGCCTGTTTGGTGTGATGTATATAACGCTTGATAGTATAAGCTTATACTATACGTTGTGACATTTTCAGTTGTTTGGTGTGACCATCGTATAGTATAAGCTTATACAACAGAACCCCTTAATACATCAAAATGATGTATAACTTAATCAGGTCTAAGGAGGTGAGATTAGGCTTAATAAGAGGTAGATGTATTAATATTGCTTACAAATACAATTATCAAGAACTAATATACATTTTAATATTAATATATTAAAATAATTTATTTTAATCTATTAATTTTTAAAATATTGGAGGATATTATTTTATACAATACCATACCAAACACTGGATGATATTAAAAATTAATCAGGTCTTATACTATTAGGACTTATCCTATACTATGCACCAAATATGTCCTTAAGCAAACACCATTAATTAATTTTAATGAGAAACATGGTTAAATAGATTTTAGGTTAATGAATAATTGATTTCATGGGAATATAATTGACTTTTAATCCAAAAATTCGGATAGCATCATAAATACATTTAACACGAAATTTTGATTAAGGGCTTGTTTGATGTTTTTTTGGAGGATATGATAGGCTATTATATCATGCCTTATTTATTATATGATGAGCTAATAGAATATGATAAACTTATTATGTTTTCATTTTATCCCGTCCGAAATATAATAAACTATTCTAAAGAGGGTCTCAGGATAACAAATGTCATATCATCTAATCTCAAATATAGTTCTAAGCTTTGTTGGACACGTGAAGGTCAGCTCTTGTTATCTCATCATGAGTTCTAACCACTACCCGGACCATTAAATACCAATCACCACCGTCATAGGTAAGCTATACAATTGCCATTGTGCTAACGCCACCAACGCCATCACCACCATAGTAGTCATTGGTCATCGCCATCCCTAACCACCAAGTACAAGACACCACTAGCCACCACCACCCTACATTGCCACCTACCTTGACAACTAGTCATCTTAGTCATTAGTCATCGACCATCAACATTGACATTTAATTTAAAACTTAATTTTTAAAATTTTATTTGATAAGGATATATTTTTTTATTTTGAACATTTTTGTAAAATATTTATGTATTTTAGTATGACTTTTAAAATTTTCTAACAATTTAAAATAAGAACGAATACGTAAATAAGTAATGTTTTTATTTTAAAAATCATATAAAATTCTATCTAAAAATATTTTTTCTATTTATATTATACCATAACACTATATGATTTACCTTAAATACTAATCACAATAACATTATCTTATTATTTATTTATTTATTTATTCAGTGCACATCAAATGCATGACCTTTCTTACTGGCTTCGTACGGTGTTCATCTTTATGTTGTTATGTGCACCGCCCTAAAAATATTATCCCTCGAGTGGGCAATATCGTAATAAGTGATTGTTGAATAAGCTACATTGATAGATGCTAATCTTGTATTGAAGATGCACATTAGAATATAATTTTTTTGTAGACAAATTAACAAGACTGCATATTACAAAGTACAAACTCTTGTCTTCCACATTACCTCACCTGCATAGCCTTTTAGCATCGGCGAGGCAGGAGCATCGGCGAGGCAGGAGCAACGGCAAGTGGCACAGCGGAACACTCACATACACAGCACCGCCTCACGTAATACGAGGAGTTCACCGTTCCCCTACGCATCGAATAGAGAAGTATCAATGGGAAGGCAGAAAGGAGAAGGTGCAAGAAGCAAGGCACGCCCTTCAAGCAGCAGGTAAACAACAATCCTCTCTTTTCATCAATCCCTAATTTCATCATCTTATCTGTATTTTTCTCCCTTTCAGTCTCGCCGCCTCGCTCTTGCCGTCCGGTTCCACCGCCCCCGCCGCCGTCGGATTCGGTGGTTATGTCGGTAGTTCGCGCTTCGATACTTCTCTTTCAACCGAAGATTCACTACCATTCGCCGTACGACTTCCCGATTATATGTCCTTTATTTTTTGGTATTCATAAGTTGAATCTTGGTTAGGTCCAGTTTGGTGTTCATAATTAACATACTAGAATTGTACTGCTTGACAGAGCTGAGATTGAATTAACCATATGTTTGATGTGCTTGTTTTCACGGGGTTTTATGCTAAGAGGCTTTGTTTGCAGCTCCAAATTGAGTTATTGGATCTGACTATAATGTTAATATTGCTTTCTGATAAATGTTTTCATGCCTTGCCTTGCCTTGCCTTGCCTTATGTAATGCTCTCGTACTCAGGATGTAGATAGTGAAATTGCGGTGCACTTGAAGAGGCTAGGCAGGAAGGATCCCATTACTAAGGTAATTTTGGATGGTACTTGTTTGATGAGAACATCTGACAAGCTCATGTGCAACTAGTTATAAGATTCTGTATGCCACTTTCGATGCAGCCTGTCCAATTCCTATTTAAGTTTGCGGCTTTACGCCTTTATTAATTAGCCTATCATGGATGATGAATTTTGAATACAAGCATGCTTAAAGTGTCGATAGAAAACTATATCATTTTCAAATTTTGTTCTCTTGAAACTTGATGGTGGCATGGTGCTACTTATGACTTACCATGTTAAAACATGAAGTTTACTGAGTTTGTGTGAAGCTCATTCAATGACTATGGTAATTATATCTTGGCGCTTTGCATTGAATATAAAATTCTGGACATCATAGACATGGCTGTACAACGGATGGTGCATAACATTGATATGTTGGATGTACGTGTAATTGAGTGGGTGGAGTTGGCATTTCTGTTCTGTTCTTCAGAGTTTGTTTGGTCATGCTCATGCATCTGTACTATCATGGATTTGCTAAGCTGTTGAAGGTGCAGTGGAGATTTGGACATAATCTAATAGGTGAAGCTGGTTTCTGGCTGTTTGATTCGTCACATTGCCCAAACTTTGTGTTTTAGTTTTCAATTCTAAAACTGCGGTGTCTTAGTGTTGAAGAGGGTCTTGTTTGCTGCACACTTTATTATCTTGGCCATGGGTGCCCATAAAGTACCAAATTGTTCCCTGAATTTATGTGTTCAATAATTCTTGTGTTTTTCCTATTCTTAAATCCCCCAAAACAAATATTGCTCAATCTTGGCCCTTACTCGAGAATGGCGGAGGTGAAGTTTTGGTAACGACATTCTCCTGCTGCTCTTGACGAGACTTTCATGTGCATATAAAAATTAATATGGGGAGTTAATTTTTGAAATGTGCCAGTGAAGTGCTTCACTAGAATACATAGGGTCCTTTTCTGATTCTTTGTTTTTTCTGTAGTTTGATGTGAATGCATGAGGTGGACTATCATTATGATTGGCTAACTGCTTTTTTGTCGTTGTGAATTGGTAATTTCCTTTCCAATTTTTAATTACTCTTTGCTGCAATTGCATTGTATTATTGTTGGCCCATCTGTTGATAAGGTCCTGACCAGTTTTTTTATTTGAGAATAATGATTGGTTGAAGTTGTTGAACATTTCTTATGATAACTATTCTAGTTGACTACGTAGGTTGATTAGATGATATTTGATGAAATGCACTTTGTATATTTGTATCACTGTTTGTGACTGTGTATAGTCAAATAATGTCTCGTTATTTTTCCATGATTCAAGAATTTTGAGAAATACTTTTTGCCCATACCTTTCATTTGCATAAAAATATCATTATGGCATCATTGCAGAACTCGTCAATCTATGGTTGATTTCTTTCTCCTTATATTGTTGTAGTCTGTGACTGTCATGAGTTCATTCATTTATTGTTTATACTAGTATTTTGTCATCCATAGTTGAAATATGTCTAATTTGGCTGTAATGGAGTAGTCAGAACACATTCATTTTGGCTGTTCATGTATCTATTCTTACATATCATAATATCATTGACTTTATTTTCCCTTGTCTTTTTCTTTTGAAATAATTAAACAGCTGAAGGCATTGGCAGCTTTATCTACTCTGCTTCAACAGAAGTCTACAAAAGAAATTGCTCTAATTGTTCCCCAATGGGTATGGATATTTCATATGTCTTCATATTTATAGTTGTATTATATTACTTGTTTGTCCCTCTATTATTCCCTATATTAGTTCTCTTAAACTTCATATGAGGAACATCTATGTGTTGAATAGTAAACCATTATGGAAGTTGAACTGGGAAAAGACAGGAACACAGAATGAGTATGATAAGAATAAGATATGTATAAGATGGAAAGCATTTTCTTTTTGCCATGGGATATACAATTTTATTAAGCCTATACTTTTGTTTCTTTAACATGTTGAAGTGAGAGGGAATTGAAGGGGATTGGACCATGTATTTTACACCTTCAGGTAGACTAATAAAGGGCGTTCACTTATTTGTTACATATTTAGCTAGACTGAGATGGGCATCATTTGTGCGGAAATTTCATTTTCTGGATTGCATAAGTGAATAGGATAAATACAAATAAGCATGCTTTAGGTGCAGCACCATAGGAAGCATTCGCAACAACAGCCAGAACCTTGCCACTAGGTGGTGTCAGCTACATGGATCAAATTATGCCATTATGTTTTGTCAAAACCAATTCTTCATAGAGGTTATTTAGATCTGAATCCTTTTTAATGGTTTCACTCCGAGTCTTTCTTTGTCTTCCTCTATCTTTACTTATTGGGCTATACTCCATCTGATCAACTCTTCTAAATGAGGCTTCTGTTGGTCTTCTCACAAATCTAAACCATCGTAGGTGCGATTCTACCATCTTTTCCTTAATATGTGACACTCTTACTCTTTTTCTAATTCATTCATTCCTATGCCAACCGCCGTAAATTAGGAAAATATTTTAAGATTTTAATTTTAAAATTAGGGTTTTTGATTTGGGATTATTTGTTATTTAGGGATTTTATCTTATTTTGTATTATCTTGTTCTAGCTTAGAGTTTATATTATTCAGGTGTTTGGTTATGTTGGGTCTATAAACATACCGTTAGTGCAAGCATTTGACAGACTTTTCTGCATAAGAATAAAGTATTGAGATATCTTTATCTTTAGAGATCATCTGAAACTCAGTTAGAGGAGTACTCTAGGTTCTATCATTCTACATTACCCAGGTATCCTGCGCAACATTCTTATCTCCACAAGACTTATTTGTTGCTCTTGTTGGCCTTTTATCTCCCTCCCATCATTCAATATCATAAACCATTTCTGGTCCTATGACTATGTGGTGAAATTTTCGTTTTAGATTAATAGGCACCTTTCTATCACAAATAACACCTGAATAATTCCTCTATTTTTTCGCCCACTTAGATTGAAGTGGTGACTGCAATTTAAGGCCACAACATCAACCCAATGTGATGTTATGCGCATCACAAGGAGTAAGCCTATTTAAAAATTAGGCCATAGTCATACTTTTAAAAAACCTGGTCTACAAGCCTATTGGCCGCCTTATATTTATTTGAGATTATATTTATTTGCTATGTAGCACTGATACCGACACGGGACACGATACGATAAGACACTCTGACACGTTAATTCTAAAAAATGTTAGATTTCGATACGTTAGGACACGTTTTGATATTAAATAATATTTTTAATTTATGTAGTGTATATTATATTTAATATTCAATAATTTAACAAAAAATGAAGCTAAACTTATAATAGTCATCAATTTTGCAAAGAAACATAAGATATCCTAAATATTTATATTAAATTCAATAAAATGGTAATCGTAATCCAAAATAGTAATCGTAATCCAATGAATCTAATAGTTGGAACTAAAAACGCAACGCAACGCACCCTTTGAACATTTTTTTGAGTCTCTACAATGCGTGTTGGAGTGTCGGGGTGTCGGGAAGTGTCGGACACGACACAACAGAGATTTTGAAGTGTCGGTGCTTCATAGTTTATTTGGCCACTGATGTGCTTTAGTTCCATTTTCCTTGCCCTTTTAGCCTGATAGGCTAAGTAGGCTTCGAAGCTTGGAGGCTTATCATGTCCAGATCTATATTTCTCTTCATTTATTTATTTAATTATTTTTCTCTCTAATTTATTTTTCCCTTTTGTTTGTCATTTTTATTTTTACTATTTTTTTTCCTCTTATTTATTTTTCTTTCTTATATGTAACACTCCAACTCGTGGGAATATTTACACCAGAACAAAGAAACACATAGCTAAACTGTAGTATACATCTTTACATACTTGTACACATTCTTACACACCAAACATTCATGGTACCCTAATCTTTATACAAAAAGAACAAAATGTCTTGACTATATCTTTACATACTTGTACACATTCTTACACACCAAACATTCATGGTACACTAATCTTTATACAAAAAGAACAAAATGTCTTGACTATAGACATTCCAAAATATACAAAGTACATCATCAAATAACTTCACTGTACTAGTCGTCTAAAGCTACTGTATGGTTTCTTAGGACCTTGCATATAACTACTATATGTGCCCATCCATTATGGACCTGTAGGTGTATTGAGCTAAAACACAGTGAGACGTTCCTCACGACTGTTACTGCGACACCTGATATCACATAGATATAATACTCATAATTGTAATTGTAAAGAACCAATTCAACCCAAAAGCTGGCTACAGTTATGATTTTATATATATCTCTAACACGCCCCCTCACACAAGAGCCTATTGGGCTTGAAAGGTGGACAATGCACATGCCTACCTACCCGTGCTAAGAAATTCGACAAGAGAAAGTGAGGATCGAACCCGTGACACCGATACTCTGATACTATTGCACCGGTCGTAAAAGTAATAAAAATGTACTGAGTACGAGATCGTTCCCACGAGGATTGGTTTTCATGTACTAGTTCACTAACAACGATTTAGTTGGACAATCGAATTTGAGATGAAAAGAAAGAAAATCAAGAACATGCAATTCCAAAAGTTAAAGCAAGCAAAGAAAAATAATTTAGTTTTGAAAATCAAGAAAGAGCATAGTTAAGGTTTTGATTTCCCCCAATGTCCTTCTTATGTTATGGATTAAACAATCAAATAACCACCCTTAGTATAATGCCAATCGATTCCTCTAAAGTAATTAACGTTCAATCCCTTGTTACCATAATTTTATGTAATCTTGAAAGAATCTTAGTTCCCCGGTTGTTCCCCAAGAAAACATGCATTAACAACAAGAATCTAAAGATTGCATAATTACCCTATGTCTATCTATTGAAAAAGGTTTTCAGTATATTGATATTGAATAATTACATGAGAAATGAGGAGTATTTATACAAGAAAAAATAGCTAAGCATGACTCAGCTATGACTCACCAAACTTAATCACAATCATAAGAATGACTCAGCTATGACTCACTAAACCTAATCACAATTAATTCTAATTAATTACAATTAATTCTAACTAATAGGAAATAAAAAACAATCAATCCTAATTAATCTTAATTATTCCTAATAAATAAAAACGGAAAAATATTTGAATTTGAATTCTGATTTTCTACACTCCCCCTCAAGTTGGGAGGTAAATGTTGATCATTCCCAACTTGCCAATCAAGTCTTCAAAGGCTGGCTGGTGTAGGCCCTTAGTGAGAATATCTGCAATCTGCTCTTTGGTAGGAATATACACTATACATACACTTCCATCATCTATTTTTTCTTTGATAAAGTGGCGATCAACCTCCACATGTTTTGTTCTGTCATGGTGAACTGGATTTTGAGCAATGCTGACAGCAGCCTTATTATCACAATACACTCTGACAGGTGGGGAAAAAGAGATCTTCAATTCCTCAAGGAGTCTTCTTAACCAAATTCCTTCACAAATACTATGGGCTAGAGCCCGAAATTCTGCTTCTGCACTGCTCCGGGCAACAACTGTTTGTTTCTTACTTCTCCAAGTCACAAGATTTCCCCAAATATAGGTGCAATATCCTGAAGTGGATCTTCGGTCCAATGCAGAGCCAGCCCAATCTGCATCTGTATATATTTCAATCATCCTCTTGTGTCCCCTTTTAAAGAACAATCCTCGACCAGGGGTGTTTTTGAGGTACTTCAGAATTCTATAAACTGCACTCAGGTGTTTTTCCTTAGGAGAATGCATGAATTGACTAACCATGCTAACTGCAAATGCAATATCAGGCCGAGTGTGAGATAAGTAGATCAACTTCTCCACCAATCTCTGATACTGCTCTTTGTCAACTTCTTTCCCATCTTCGATTCCCAATTTAATATTGGGTTCAACTGGAGTCTCTGCTGGCTTGCACCCAAGCATTCCTGTTTCTTGTAACAGGTCTAGAATATATTTCTTCTGAGTTAAAGAAATTCCTGCCTTACTTCGAGCAACTTCCATGACTAGGAAATATTTGAGAGATCCAAGATCCTTCAGTTCAAACTGATTAGCTAAACATTTCTTCAAAGAGCTTATCTCCTCACAATCATTACCTTTGACAATTATGTCATCAACATAAACAATGAGAATAGCAATTTTACCACCATTAGAGTGTTTTAAAAATAAAGTGTGATCAGTCTGAGCTTGGAGGAATCCTCTTCCCTTAATAGCTTGAGTAAACTTCTCAAACCACTCTCTAGGAGATTGTTTAAGACCATAGAGAGACTTTTTCAACTTGCATACTGAATCGTCTCCTTTTTCAAAACCAGGTGGTGGATCCATATAAAATTCTTCATGTAGATCACCATTCAAGAAAGCATTCTTTACATCTAATTGTTGCAAGGGCCAACCAAGATTTGCAGCAAGTGATAAAAGAACTCGGATAGTATTAAGCTTGGCAACAAGGGCAAATGTCTCTTGATAGTCTATCCCATGAGTTTGAGTGAATCCCTTAGCAACCAGTCTGGCCTTATACTTGTTGATGCTGTTATCTGCATTAAACTTTATTGTGAACACCCACTTGCAACCTACTGTTTTCTTTCCTCTGGGTAATGCTACAGACTCCCAAGTTCCATTTTTGTTGAGTGCATCTATTTCTTCAAAGACTGCATTCCTCCATTTTGAATTATTAAGTGCTTCTTGGATATCTTTTGGTATTTTTGTACTGTCT